ATTCAATAATAAAATATATATAATTTAAATGAACATATTTTTTTATTTACAGCATATATAATAACAAATGGTACCGAACAAGAACATGCAAAAATACGAGAAGAAATGTTGACAATTATAGATGTTAGAAAAAAGCCTATACTTGATTCTGAATTATCACGTCATAGACCTCTTAGACATGGACACAATGTAAAGTTAGATATTAGAATTTCTGAAGAAACAAGACGTACACGTTGTGCACAGGTATAGAAATAAAAAATGATATTATTTTTATTCATTTAATAATTTTTTTTATAATTTTTGGATAGATTATATTTTCAGTGTTAGATCATTTACAAAGATGGCTTTGGGAACAACGATTAGTTCATGATTATAAATATAAAGCTTTAAAAAGTAAGTTTTTATATATATATATATATTTTATTAATAATAAAATTTATTACTAATAAAATATAATTATTAATGAATGTATATTGTTCTTAAATCAATTTAGATTTTTGTGAAACATTAAATGCATTAGTAGTAGCAGAAGGCTGTTATCAATTTCAAGAATATCATAGAGCATTAATGTATTTAGAGCAACATATGATTTCTTCTAATAAAGGATTATCAGAAGCATTGGAGGGCGGATTACTTGCTGTAAGTTCTAAATCAATAATAAAATTAAGAGTAGTTTATTATAATTCTTATTTTTCTTTTTTTCTAGAAAATATATGCACAATTAGATGAACCAGATGGTATATCTGGTATATTAGCTACTCAAGATCATACTCCTACTGTTCAACAATTAGTCTTAGCTCATGAAGTTAATGGACAGCTTCAAGTAAGATAAAGTATTTACTTATGAATTTATTATATATATATATATATATATATATATATATTATTTATGAATTTATTATATATGTATTCAATGTATATATTATATTATATATATTCAAAATGGGCATAAAATATATTAGGATGCTGCGACGTGTTACGAGAGATTAGCACAAAAGAAGACTTTAAAGCATACGTATTTGCAAGGAATGATCCAATGTTATCTTGGACTTGATCAACCTTTTACAGCAAAACATATTACGGAAGGAGTTTTGAGTAATCGACCAGAATTAGAATCATTAATGATTGAACAAGAACCATTTTGGAGATTAGCTCATTTTATTAGATTTGATGACACTTCTCAAAAGAATATAAAGCATATATTACTTGAAGATCTTAAAAAAGGTATTAAACCTGATTTAACATCTTTGAAAAGGAATCTAGTGTCACTTTTAGAAGATGCTTCACGTCCAGGGGCTTATCAACAAAGCTATTCTTATATCATGAAGTAAGATTTAAAATCACATTTGACATTAAAAGATATTTATAATATTTTTTTATATAGGCTACATATTCTAAATGAATTCGATAAGGCAATTGCTACTATGTTAAACAATATAGAACAATTACCAATGATATTTGAAGAATGGGAAAAACGTGGTCAACTTGTTCGTGCTTCTCGAGGAGTAGAATTTGTATTAAGTATGCGTAGAGCTACACTAGACTTAGCACTTCAATTGCAAAAAGAAATTGAAAACAAAGAAAATTCAATACTCAAACAAGAAATTGGAAAGATTTGGCTTAAAAGTGCAAAAATTGCAAGAAAGTTTGTATTAATATTTATAAATATTTGTTATCTCATTTTGTCTTTTAATTTTTAATTTATAGTTTTTATTTAGGAATAGACAGCATCAACAAGCGTATATGTATATTTTATCAGCGAGCGATTCTTGTCCTCCCCAGCAACTTTATATAGAACAAGCTCAATTATATTGGCAAAAAGGTTGTCAGGAAGATGCTTTTATAACATTAAAGCGATGTTTTTCTAGTTATTTTCAGCCAGCTATGTATTACAAAAACTTATCATCAGGAGAATGTTTAGAAGAAAGAAAACAATGTGCAAAGGTATAGTATAATATATAGAAATATAGTATAATATTATCAAATGATATTAATAATTTATTTGTTATAGGCAAAACTTTTATATGCAAAATATAATGATGAAACAGTTAATGTAGATACTGATGCTAATATCATAAATTACAAAGAAGCTATTGAAGTGTGGAGAGAATGGGAAAAAAGTTTACTATTTTGTGCACGATATTACGAATCTGTTATAGATAGAATGACAGATGAAGAGAAAGATTCAAGAGGACGGTAAGCACGAGATAAATAATATTTTAAATAGAAAAAATAATTAATTATAAATATATTTAGAGATTTACAAGTGCATACTATGAATTATTATGGGAAATCACTTCAATATGGTTGCAAATATATTCATCAGTCTATGCCAAGAATGTTAACTATATGGTTGGATTTTGCTTCTCGTGCAACACGATCTAATAATCTTATGAATCAATCAAATCAAGAACAAATCAAATTACGAAAAGATGCATTATTGAAAATGTCAAAAATTATGGGTAAATAATATATAATTCGTTTAATAGCTAAAATAAAATTTTAAAATTAAATAATTCGTTTTTTATAATCTAGAAGTGTATCAAGAAAGATTACCGATATTCATGTGGCTGACTGCATTTAGCCAACTTGTTTCGAGAATATGCCATCCTTCTATTGAAGTACAGAAAACTATTTGTACAATATTAGTAAAATTAATTCATGCTTATCCTCAACATAGTTTATGGATGATGGCATCTGTTATTAATGTAAGTTTTTTTAAAAATTATTAATAATTTTTAAATAATATAAAAGTTATTAATAAATAAAAGTTTTGATAAACAATTTTTTAGTCGTCTTATCCAGCACGTCAGAAACGTTGTCAAGAAATTCTCAGTCATATCAAACTTAAAACACCAGAAATGACAAAACTTATTTCAGATTTTCATAAATTATGGGAAAGATTAATTGAACTATCCAATAAAGCAATTCCAGATGTAAGTAAAATAATATTTTATATAAATTTTGATATTATGATATTTTATAATATTTTAATAGGGGATTATGAATACTACAATAAATCTCTTGTCCCGGAATCTTCCTCGTTTACTTTCAAATAAAGAATTTAGTTCGATAATGATACCAACAACTAAATTTAGACAATTGCATTTGCCATCTAAGGGCATGTCATTAGAAAATCATAATGCATTTTCTTCGTATGTACATCATCATTATCTATTGCGTATTATTCTTTTTATTTTATCTTGTTTATTATCTTAAAAAATTTGTTTTATAATTTCCAGAAATTGGATTCATATATCAGGAATAGAAGATAATGTGGTTGTTATGCCATCTCTTCAAAGACCACGACGTATTACATTAAAAGGATCAGATGGTAAAGAATATCTATTTATGTGTAAACCAAAAGATGATTTACGAAGAGATTTTAGATTAATGGAATTTAACGATATTGTAAATAAATATCTTCAAAATGATCCAGAATCACGGCAAAGAAGATTATATATTCGGACATATGTAAGTCAAAAGTGATCTTATTATACATAATTTTAATTAATATTATTTAAATTACAGAGTGTTGTACCTCTCAATGAAGAATGCGGTTTAGTAGAATGGATACCAAATTTAGTTGGATTTAGACCTATTATAATAAGTTTATATAAAGAAAGAGGTATTGCAATTTCAAATAGAGAACTTAGAAGTATATTATGTTGTAAGTAGAAATATAATATTCTATTTATTTATTGAAATTTTCATCAATAAAATAAATAATAAAGGAAATTAGTAAGCCCTTATTATATAAATACATACTTATTTTACATAATAAATTCATATAAATGAAGTTATATTAATATATATATATTCAAAATATATATATATTGCAAAATTAAATTATAAATAATTATAAAAATTCTTACTTGGATATTATATTTCAGCATTGAAAGATCCATTAGAAAAAAAAAGAAAAGTATTTTTAGAACAACTTCTTCCGCGACATGCATCGGTACTTGGAGATTGGTTTCGTCTTACATTTCCTGATCCATATGGATGGTATATTTTATTTCTATAAATAAAATAAAAATTTATTATTTAAATGCATAAAAATATGATTATATATAAAAATAGGTACGAAGCACGTACTGCCTATATTAGAACTACAGCCGTAATGTCTATGGTGGGATACATTCTTGGTCTTGGAGATCGCCATGGAGAAAATATATTATTTGATTCTAAATGTGGAGATTGTGTACACGTAGATTTTAATTGTTTATTTAATAGGGTACATATATTAAATTTAGTCATAAATTAAATTCACAATATGCTTCATTTTTATTTATTGTTACAATAATTAAACAAAATAAATATAACTAATGAGATATATATATATATATTTTTTTTATACAGTAGGTATTTTAATAATTAAAATTATATTTCTGTTATCAGGGAGAATTATTTGAGTGGCCAGAACGTGTACCATTTCGATTAACGCATAACATGGTAGATGCTATGGGACCATTAAAAATTGAAGGACCATTTAGGCGTGCTTGTGAAATAACTATGAGGGTTCTTCGACAACAAAGTAGTACGTTATTAAGTGTATTGACGCCATTCGTGTATGATCCTCTAGTAAGCTGGAATAAAAATCATATGGGTGAAGGTAGTGAAAAAACAAATGAAAAAGTAAGTTATAATATAATAGATATTAATAATGTGTATGCAATATAAATTATTAATATAGAATATAAAATATAATTGAATATTTTAGGCTGTAGAACATATAAAAAATATAGAACAACGATTGAAAGGATTAATTCGATATCATGGAAAAAAATTAGAAAACATTGCTTTAAATCTTAGTGTCGAGGGACAAACTAATCATTTGATTCTAGAAGCAACAAATGTAGATAATCTTTGTCAAATGTACTTTGGATGGGGTGCATATATGTAAAAAATATTATCAATATAATATATAATAATATAATATTTATATATCAGATAATAATCTATCACTAATGAAAAATTATACAAACCAATTTTAATTTCTAAGCTTCTGTATTGAAGCTTTGAAGCATCATAAAATATGAAAATGCAGTACTAAGTATCTGCAAATGTATGTAAATTATCAGATAATTATTGCAATTTAAAATGTTAATATGCTAATAAAAATTTTACATATATATATATATATTTTAATAAAATCTTACCGCGGTAAAATTTTCTAAATGCATTATATATAATTTTCCTGCAGTAATAAAACTAGGTTTTTGAGAACGTAATATAATCATATATATTTCATCTTTAATAAAAATTGGCAATTGATACCATTGTATAGAATATGCAGCTATGCTTATATTGAAACTCTGTCTCAATGAGAATTAATTTAAAATTTAAATAATTACATCTGTTTTTGTATATATATGTTAATATTACCTGTCGCATTAAAATATCTCCGGGAAAACAGAAAAGTAATAGTTGAAAAAGCGATACAATTAAGTGAGAAAAAGATTCAAGAAATTTAGATTGTTCTGTTAATGCCTATAATAAAAAAATATATATATATTTGATAATATACAATAAAGTGTTTATATTTTAATATGATTTTTTAAATTTTATAAATATACTTACTATAGAAATCTGAAATCCGACGAAACAAATTATTAGACTACTGATTATTGCTTGTAAAAAAAGCATTAAATGAAAATTCTTTTCCATATTATCACAAAACCTGAATTACACTAAAGTGAATAAGAAATAATAAAATTTTTTTGAAATAATAATAAATTTATTTACCAGAGAATTAGTTGATGATGTTTAATTATATATATTATTTGAGTTTTTATTTCGTATAAATTCTTATTTATATGTTTTGAATTAGTCTTCAAACTAGTTAACTGGAAAAACAAGATTATTTTAAATATAAATAAATATTGTTATTATAATGATAAAAAAATATACATACATTATATATGTATGTATCCAGATTTTTTAAATTTTCTTTAAGCACTATAAAATGTCCACAAGTATGAAGTAGAGCAGTTGCAATTAAGCTATCAATTGCAAGCATCATCAGACAACAAATACTTGTTGCCAATATTTGAGATATATATGCAATCTATATATGCATTTGTATAAATTAAAAACTATAATAAAATAAAATATAACTATAATGAATATTTATAATAAAAAAGTGAAATAAAATGATACCTCATAAAAGGGAAACTTATAAAAAGTTATAGGATATGATGCAGCAAATGGAAAATTTTTTATAGTAAAATTATTTAAGTTTTCATTTTTAATTAATATTTCAATAATAGGTAAACTAAAGAAAAGTAATAAGGCATTACACATTGAAATGAAATAACCTTTGGTAATGTTCTTAGCATATCTGAAATATATATATATTGTTATTTGAAACTATAACTACTGTTATTTGAAATTACAATTATAGAAAAATAATATAATTTCTAATGTTAAAAATTATAAATATTAAAAATATTAAAAATTATTTACATTGCATATTCTTGTAAATATTCAAAAACATTAGTTTCAATTATTTTCCAATAATCTGTCAGCATAAATTCAATAAAAAATTCCAAATTTTTTCTATTAAATATCCAAACTATTGATTTCAATGCAGCAAGTAAAATTGTCAATAAAGTTGAACTAAAAAAGATGATGAAAAAAATTTAATATTTTAATAATTTAATAAATATTTTTATACATAATTAAATTAGTTATTTCGTTTTTAAAAATTCCAACCCTGTTTCCATAACAATATTTAAATCATTCCAATTTATATAAATCATTATTATTTGTGGTATAACAATAAACATAATGCAACTAATGCATATAACATATCTTATAATACTTATTGGATAAAATCCAACAAATTTTAGTACTAATTGATTTATGAAAACATAATTTCTAATATTCATTGTATTTTGATTAGACATTTAATTCATTGCAACAAATACATTTTAAATAAATAATGTAATTTATAAACTGAAAAATTATGTTTGTACACAACTTAAATTTTATCTGTAGGATTCATTCCATCATTACGGAACAACTACTTTTAAAAGAGATATTATAAATTTAACATGTTTAATTATTATCCTAAATTATTAAGAATGTAATGATATATTTTCTTTATAGAGCTCTATGTTCTGATCCCTAAAGCATGTATAGGTACATGCAAATCATCATTTAATGAATTCCTTTTGAAGCTATATCCTTAGATCATATATTATTCCTATATAATTTTACAGAGAATATTAAGTGTGATTAAAAGGAAAAAGAACTTTAGAAAGCTGTCTATTTTATTTAGCTATCTATTCTATTTTATTTCATGAGAAAAAAGTATCTTGATAATTAAAGTTCATTTTAAATAGAAACATAGTCAAGGAACATCAATAACAATAGAGATATCAAAGACACAGCCTTTTACTGTAAGTTTTTATAAAAATTTTAGTACAATTTTTTATACACATAAGATGTCTTGTAAAATTTTATTGCATTTATGTGGTGCATTAATAATAAATAAAACTTTTATGTTTGACTGTATATCTTACATGTCATTATTTAGTATCACGTATAAATAAATTATACTCATTGTCTTAAATCAATATTTTTTAGAACACTTAAATGAATATTATAAAAAAAGTCAAATCTTTCATAATTGTATATCAGACTTAATTTTTTTCAGATATAATTTTATAATTATTTACTTAATAAATTTATCCAAAAGATATTTGTACAAGTACTGATAACATTATTAGAAAAAGATAAATCGAAATAACTTGTCATTTTATTTAAGGACATTTTCGTTCTACTTGACTTTTGCCACTTTCTTCATATTCTTGACTTGATATCCACATTTGTTGAAAAGTTCCAATTGAAGCCAAAATAGATCCACCGATCCAAGCTCCGAATCGTCGTTCAGCACATCCATTTACACTAATTAATTTCAATCTCATACTGGATGGAATTCTCATGGAAAGATCTCGATTTAAACGTTCCGGAAAACCCTAAAAAGAACAATATATTAATAGGTATACAAAATTGTTTATATAAAATAAAATTTATTTAATAATATACCTGGATGAATGAATTACCACCAGTCACAACAACACTACCATAAAGTGCTGGTCTTACATCAACATCACACATGCCTACACTAGTTGTAACAATATGACCTACTCCTAACATAGTATTACCAACCATACCACCTCGCATTTGTACCATACTGGGATCAAAAAGTGCTTCCGGTATACGAAATCTTTCACTTCCAAAATCCTTAAAATATTTTTTTTGTTAAATATTTAACTTTTATAAACTTTAATAATAGATTACATATTACTTAAATACCTGATGATATCCAGTAGGAAATTCATATTGAACTGCAGGAATTGTAGAAACAATTTTTTCATCATATGGAGTTTCTGAGACTTGCAATACTGTAGCTTGAAAATCCTGAATAAGTTTCTTTACCATATAATTATGCCAAGATTTGGTAACTTCAGGTAATCCCTTTTTTTTTACCCATCTTGGCTTTTCATGATCTTTGACAACTTCTTTACTGCCCACCATGTAAGAAGGGGACAAATCAATGTCATTATCCTGTCATTATTTTGAAAATATAATTATCCATTTTTTATATATATCATAAAACGATATTAAATTGAAAGTATATTTATACTTGTAAAAATTGTCTGCACTGCATACTTATATAATCTCCTCCAAGTGGAGACTTAACTATTGCCTGTGTTAATACAAAACCATCTTGTACTGGTACAGCAGAAGTATGTGTTGCTCCACTATCAACAACAATACCAGTTGCTCTACCATTTGCAAAAGCAGCAAGAACTGCATTTTTAACAAGGAAATAAGCTGGTACATTATACTTCTCAAACATTAATTCAGTTAACTTCTCTCTTTTACTACGTACATTCCATGGTGATTCAGAAAACAATACTGGGTGATATTCTGCATCTGATTGAATTACTTTAGAATAAGTATAATCTAAAACCTATAATATAAAATATAATATATAATATAAAATACAATATAAAAAATATAATTATATCATTCTAAAGATAAATGAGAATAATATTAACATTATAATTAATTTTTTACTTTTTCAAAATGATCCCAATCTTCAATCATTCCATCTTTCATGTAACTTACAACTTCCATGTTCTTTCTTGGAACATGAAGTATAGTAGTATCAATATAATATTTGGTCCCAGATTGTGTAATGTTGTTGTCCGGTTTTTTATCATCAATATCCATTGGTTCTGTTTTTGTTACTGTACAATTGCCATCCTCTCCTATACCTACAACAGCTGGAATTTCAGCTTTTGGAGTATCTTCTTGAGCATAACCAACTCTTAAAGAATGATGTCCCAAATCAAATACTAAAGCTCCAATTTCATCTCCTCCATAAAGCATGCCACCTGACATTTTGCTGATTTTAAAATATCTATAACAATTATTTTAATTACAAAACTTAATAATAAAATTCTTATTTAATACTTAAATTTATATCATTAAGAAATATCTATATTAAAATAAAATTTTCTGTAAAAATAATATAAATAATAAATATACTATATAAAAATATATTAAAGCGATAAAGGATAGTAACAAATTTATTGATTGTAAACAAATTTTTATTTTGACCTTATAACTCACCGTAATTTTCTTACAAAAATAACTTAATGAAGTGGCAAAAATATATATACTTGACGACTACATCAACATTTATTTATGTATTTCTACAACAGAATACAACAGAAACATAACCTCAATTCAGAAAGACGCTTAATGCCGCCACCATAAACATAATAACTTCTAGATAAGCATGCTTTTTTATCAAATTTTATAATTTTCTCATATCCATATTCCGATAAAATTATAAAAATTGTTGATTTATTATAAATAATTTTAAAATATAGTAATATTAATTTTATAATATAATTATATTTATAAAAATCTTTTTATTATTTGATTGATATTAAATGTAAAGTAGTATGAATGAAATATATAATTTTGTATAAAAATCAATGATTCTTTTGTAATAAATAAAATTTTATTTAAAATCTATTTATAAGAATATATGAATAATCATCTAGATTGTCAATTCTTAGAAATAATGAAAAATATAATTAATATTTTTTTAAACCACCTGTTAATTCTATAAAGTTTCAATGATGTCGCTGTAATCGCAAGATGCCCACGAAATGGCGGCACTAATCAGAACGTCGGTAGACTTGGGACGATGAGGAAGTGTGTAGTTGTCTTTTAGCCATGTTCTGTCGTTTGTAATAGTGCTGTGCAAAAATGAGGTTTGTGGAAGCGAGACTCAATCTGTCGTTCCATGTGCGACGGTGAGTCAAAGAAATTGGCATGTGTTCGCTCAACAGAACATTGTATGCTCGTGCAGCAATCGCATAAGAAAGCTACGATGGATTTTTGTACGCGTCGGAGTCTGACACCCGTTGGCCTAATGGAGCCGCGTACTCTTGCTATCCCGTTGGCTTTGTTGACATTCGTCATATTAGGTAAGTTTAATTTATTCTTGTCACGAAAGTATATTATCTTACATTATTTTTATTTGAAATAATGTATTATAATATTTATTATAAATATATTTTATTGAGATTTTAGTATTAAAAAGTGTTTTAAAACTTTAATGTTCATATATATAAAATCAAAAATATAATTATCATGATATGATTGTTATTGGCAAATATAATATAAAAATATTTTTTCATTAATTTTTATTGTTGAAAATATGACTTGATTTTATTATATTTTATCTAATGTTTTATCGATGAACATGAAAATGGAAAAACATTATTGCCTATCATTTTACAGTAACTAATGTTTGCATCTCAATTTATCATGATAATAAGCAAATATTTACAAAACTATTTTGCGATTTTTAATTTATTAATCTCTAAATATAAGAAATTATATTTAAAATATTTCGAATTATAATCGAAATTTTTTGTCACAGATAAAATTTCAAATCTGAAAATAATTATTTTGTGTAAATTGTGTAATGCATAATAAAAAGACTACGAATTTAATATATTTAATTAATATTTATTTAATATTCGGCGATTAAATTTTATAAATTCCATATGAAAAATATAATAAATTATAAAATTAAAATCATTTCTTTACTTAACTTATAATATATTTTTATAATATTGTTAAATTTGTTAAATAAAGCGTCTTGGATCATTGGACAAGTTCAAACAATTTGTTTAAGAATTTCATATGTTAAGCAAGACAAATAAATAATTTTAACGTATATAGAAAAAGCATTTTTAATAATTTATAATTATTTTGAAAAATTAAGTTGAGAAGCACTGTATTCGGGTAGCTATTATTGATGCAGAGAAGGATGTAGTAGGTATAAGGGGATGATTCGGGGGTGTATTTCCGATTGTAACGATTTGGATGGAGATACATCCCTTAATATTGTCGCAATAATAAAAAATTGTTTTTTTGATAAAAGTAACAATAAATTAAAAGAATTTTAAATCAAAATTAAAGATTATTTTCTAACATATGCTATAGTACAAATGCGCGCGTAAATAAAAGTTTCGAACCATTATAGATTTATTAAAGAGATTGCACTTTCGTTAGAAGCATTTGCGTTTAAACATTTTAGCAAAATATTCCAATAACGTGGCAAGCCTCTCCTTATGATTTTATCGTGATAGGAAATGCATGTGTCGCTATGCCAATCTATCACCAGAACTACCCACGCTAAAAATAAAACGTTCTATTCTTTTTTCCATATAGTAAAATATCATAGAATTATCTCTTTTATTATTCTTCTTGTTTGCTTTCGATCATTACATACATTCGTCTAGTTAGATATAAAGATCCATTTCCGGCTCGTTGTGGTGAAGAAGTATACAAACAC